ATATCTGAATAAATTTTAATCCTTTCAACAGATATATGGCAAAGCAAATTTACGTTTGTCCAATACAGTGGGATGTCTTGATGCTAGGCAATAATGAAAATGAAGATGACAATGAAAAAAAAACAATGAAACAATGAAAAAAAATATTTCCCTAAAACGTGAGATGACAACTTAAAACTTTGGAGATTGATTAGGAAAGTGATGAAGTTGGGAGCCTGCATTTTTTAGTAAGAAGTCAACAGAAGTCTCTCGCGACTTTCGTTCCAGCAACATCTCGGCAGTGATAAGCTAGTTAAACATTGTTTCAATTAAGATGCTTTCGCCGCTGCTCTTTTCTGTTATGAGTAAGTAATACTACACGATAGCTTCTTTTTCAACTTGCTGAACATTTTCTAGTTACCATACGAACTGCTCCAGCAAATGTTGTAGAGCCGAATTTGTGCGATGCAAAAGGTACACTTCAATGTGAAAACTACCAAACTTGTTGCCTATTCGCCGATGGTGAACACGGTAATCATCTTTTATGTTCTATGAAGAAGTTTTCTAAACTAGTAATCTAAAGTTCTACTTTAGGATGTTGTCCATTCACAGCAGCCAACTGTTGCCCTTCCGCTAACTTCTGCTGTCCGGCTGGTTTTCGTTGTGGTAACAACAATTGTTTCAGGGTGGACTCGTGAACTGTTGCGTATAAGCTTGTGATTTTTTCATTGTATTTCTAATAAATTTCAGAAAAAAAACACTTATTTGGGAAACAGATACAAACAGAGATATAATTAGTTAAAATATAATATTTCCACATTATATAATTTTCGTTAATACGCACAACATTATACAGAGATATATTCGCCTACCAAAACCGTTACACCACTTACTTTAATTATTCTATAGAAGCGAGCATGCAAAAGGCAAATCATCCTATTTTCCTCAAATGCGGTAGGCCGTTCTCGAGGAAGGGAAACGTTACCACCTTTCTCCTCCCTCTCCCTGTTTCGCCAAAACGTACTATATTAAAATCTGCGACTCGAGCTTTTCGCCACGGTTGTAAATTTTGTCAGTTATCGATATCTAGAATAGCGAACCTTTATGCATATGGACCTCGCCGGAAAAGTTAAAAAGATCGGTGAAGAAATTTCTGACCCTGCAATGTATTAGGCTGACGAAGAGATAAAAACAGCGAAGTAGTTAGGCGAGTTGAGAAAGATTATTGATTAAATACTAATGCTTTGTGCGTTTGCAAGCATAAGAATGAAAAAAGTAATCATATCTATCAGTTCCTTGGAAAAGATAGCGTCACTGAAAGCTTCGCTAAACTCACACTCAACTGCTTATCCATTGAACTCAACATAAACATTGGTAGCAGAAATAGCTTCAGGAGTGGTGCTTTTGATCTTGCCTCATATTAGATCTCCTTCATAAACTTCATATAATAAGAAAGATGAAAAGGCCTCAAGTTATTGGCGTTTTGGGAGTCTCATAGTTCGAATCTCACTTTTCAATCCCTATATGACTAAAGACGTACGAAAGATGAAGAAAGAAATGTAATTTGAAAGCGTTAGTCCACTTACTTCAGAAAAACCTTATGTGAGTCATAGAGAAACTGTAACCTAACCTTTAGTCAAAAAACCCAAATTTTGCGGCATCTAAGGTTACTAATTAAGAAACCGTGGCTGTCAGATCAAGAAAAAGGGTGCAATAAATTTGTAGTCTTACATTCTTATTCAAGAACATCGCTTCCATTCCATATATGCATACTGATGTAGTGATTTTATCGACACTCAAAGAACTGCAGAGTCGAATAAAATATTTAACCGTTTCAATAAAGTGTCCATAGAATTCTATGAACAATCTCACAATCATAATAAACATCATTAAATATACATTAAATACTGTTATGATGAGAAATAGCGACGCTATTAAGTAGCTTAATAATCACCTATCTTACGGAATGATGACTGGGATGATTGGAGACTGGAAAAGTGAAGATCCCGTTAAGGAATTAATAAAGAAAAAGAGAAAATTAAGATCAACAAAACAACATTGTCACAGGAACGTATACCGGATAGGGCAAAATTTGGCTAATCACGAGCGCTTGAAGCAGTGGAGATTTATAACTTAGATGGAATACAGGAAAAAAAAAGAAAAAAGAGGAGGAGAAAGTTACAAATGGAGGAGTGTCAGAATGGCTATGCAGTCTGCGTTAGTACCAGCCTTATTATCATCTGTAACTAAATATATCACAACAAATCCCAGATGATTTAAATTGCGCAGTCATTGCATTGTGGCACGATATCGAACAAATAGAATGCAATTCCTGCAATAATGACGCGACTGTTGAGAGATAAGTAGGCGAATGATCAACGACAAAACAAATTGAACGACACACAAGGAGAGACCATACGACAGTGAGCATTTGATGCCGATCTTTGAAAATCACAGGATGTATATTTGACAATACAGAGTTTCTAAATAAGTGAGTGCATTGGAAAAAAATGCGTTATGTTGAAGGAATGTGCCATTGTCTAGAGTGTTCACAACCAACCTTATAATCACACCACGGACGCTGGTTTGGATGACAACTGATCTTCTTTAAAATTCGCCTCTTCCTGCTCCAAAGCCTTAGCAGCTTCACGTTCCAACAATTCGAGTTGGTCCTGATGACGTTTCGCAAGTTGCTCTTCGTGCTTCTCTCCTCTGAAACGACGAAGT